CGCCACCTGCTGGCAGCTCCCTGGGATTTCCACAGGAGGATGCTGAGTCAGCACAGCGGCGACAGAGCTGACGGGGTGTGTCGCCACCTGCTGGCAGCTCCCTGGGATTTCCACAGGGGGATGCTGAGTCAGCACAGCAGCCGGCCAGCCGACAGGTCACACAGCCACCGAGGCGCGATGACACCGAGGGGTTTTAAGCTCTCGGACGCTCACGGGATCACCGGCCAGAGGCCAGCTTTCCACAAGAACTGGACGCAAGGTCCTGCAGGTCCCTCGCAGGAGGAGTGACCCTTGCTCCAAGCCTGCCATAGCGGGCATCTCTACGATACCGAACGCTGCCGCCTGGGCCGGCCTGCCATGTAGGCATGCCCTTTCAGGCAGGGGCACTACCGCCTGGGCCAAAGACTGCCCTGGTGTAACTGTTTTTCCCTGAATTCATGCTCTGCACCGACTGCTCTAGACATTCCTCCGACTATAAGGTATAATTATATACATAAAAGGAAATATCTGAGTAGTAAGATATTCTTCAAGCACTAACTGCTCCCACTGTACACCAATATATGATTATATATATAAGATTATATAAAGAAAATAACTGAGCAGTAACACTGTAAGATATTCTTCAGGCACTAATTGTGCTGGGGTTCTGCTTAGCTCTCCTTCCTTGATGCCCAGAAGGGGGGTTACCCACACAGGACACGCTTGGCTGTGCGACAGACATGGGGAAGCCCACGGGACACCAGCCCCCATCCACTCAGTGGAGGGCTCAGGGCACCCACAACAGAACACACTGCAGGCCATGCCTGGGCCATGTCCGCCCACACCGGCCAGATGCCTCAGAAAGCACCTCAACTTGCAGGGTACCTGGACACCTGGCCCTACAGTCAACCCTGGGAACACCCAGTCCTGTGGTCAGTCCCCAGGGTGACTGTCCGGTGGCCACCAGCCAGGATAGGCTGCAAGGCTGCCATCTGGGGCCACGTGAACCCATGTCCCCTCCACATGGGACGCCTGTCCCTCTGCTACAGCCACCGGGGTAGCCCAGGGCTGGGCCCAGGCAGGACACCCAGGCAGAAAGAGCCGCATCCCTTCCAATGGAGAGGGTCGGGGAGGCTGCTCAGGGCAACTTGGCTGAGAAGCAATATCAGCTCTCGAGAGCCCACCAGCTCCCTGACGCCGCTGCCCTTCAGCCTTTTCCCCCGAAACCACCCATAGGGACACGGGGGGCTGGCGCGGCTGCACTGGATTTGGGCATCTGTGCCTGCGGCCTGGCGCTCCATGGCCGCTGAGGCCGAGGGTGCTCCGGGGCTGATGCCCTGACCCCGGCCCGCGCAGGAGAGGCCCAGCACCCTGTCCAGGGAGGAGGGGCCTCCTAGGCCCCCGGGACAGAACAGCAGTTTCCCAGTCATGACAAGTAGCATCTTGGGGACCACCACGACTGCTCCTTCCTATCACCGAATTAAATTCTTTCCCAAATACTGGTCAAATAGCCATGTTGGGTCGTACACTGTGACATATGTGTAATGTCATGGTGATGTAACTTTACACGTGTCACAGTGCGATGCATTGTGTATTAACGTGTTCCCGCAGGGAAAGCCCTGAGCATCCCTAAGATGTAGAAGGAAATGGCCCCAGCACCATGTCAGGGTCCCCAACCCAAAGGTCCAGTGACCTGTGACGAGGGCTGCCACCAGTTCCCTCTGCAGATATCCTGATGGGGGGCATGGGGTGACAAGGCCCCCCAGGGACTCACGTGTGCAGAGGGGCTGTGGAAGCCCTGCCCTTGTGACTGGAGGGTCCTCCCGAGCCCTACAGAGCCTGCCTGGGTGGGACATGGAGAAGCTCGTGTCAGGGCCTGGGCTCAGCCAGGCGGGCGTCTCCCAGCCCAGCACTCCCGCCCTCACTCATGCAGATCCAGCCTGAATCTGCCATCATCCTCCACACTCAGACACTCGACATCAGCTGAACATTGCAGACAAAACCTCACAGCCATTCACATGCAATCACCCGGAGGTTAATCCACAGGGGAACACTCCCATCCCCACAGGCCCTGCAGAGAGGCATCGGGTGGGTGGGATTTTATCCTCTCATGACCTAAATCCAACAGATTAAATATTCATACAGAACAGCATGAACTAAAAAAGAATCAGGGGCCCGGGGGTGGTGGCTCACACCTGTAATCCCAGCACTTTGGGAGGCTGAGGTGGGCAGATCACCTGAGGTCAGGAGTTCGAGACCAGCCTGGCCAACATGGTGAAACCCCATCTCTACTAAAAATACCAAAGTTAGCCAGGCATGGTGGCGGGCACCTGTAATTCCAGCTACTCAGGAGGCTGAGGCAGAAGAATCACTTGAACCTGGAAGACGGAGGTTTCAGTGAGCTGAGATTACGCTACTGCACTCCAGTCTCCAGGGTGCACCCAGGGTGCACCTCCAGGGTGACAGAGGGAGACTCAAAAAAAAAAAAGCGAGAGAGAGAATCGGACCCACATCTATCCCGAGGGGAGGAAAGGATGCTGGTGGTAGTGTCTCCATCCGATATAAATCCCTTCTGCTTTAGAGGCCCTAGAGGCCACATGACATAATCTCCTGATTTTATAGATAAGAGAACGTGGGCTCCAGGCAGTCAGAGCCTAGCACAGAACCCACTTGGGCCAGGCCTGCAGCTCCCAGACTAGAGCTGCAAGCCAGCCCAGGAAGCACGGGCGAGCGTGGACTGGCACATGCCGGGGCCAGGCAAGTGTGGACTGGCACACACCGGGGCCGGGGCCGGTGCTTCCATCTCCAGAACCTCAAGAAGCAGAGGACGTGTGTTGGAATACATTACCTGATTCCGATGCTTTGCAACTTGCTCCAGACACTCTTCCGGTAGAAAAAGAGCCTGTTCTTCTGAAACGTGGTCTCCGTGACATAAAAAAAAGATCTCAGCAGCTCCACCACGTACACACCCAGCAGCCAGTGCAGAAACTTGGCCAGGATCTCCTCCCGCAGACGGTGCTCTGCAGCCGGAACACTGCCAAGCCCTGAAATGAGAAGGACGTGGCATATCCAGCTCACCGCAGGGCCTGGCGACCCCAGCCCACACCGGCACCCTCCGGTATGACAGCCAGGGAAGCCCGGTAGGTCCGGGCCGAGATGGCCGTACACGGGACCCGGAAGATAACGCAAAGGAAACGTCAAGTGTCCTGTCGGTGATGCTCCCACCAATGACGCCCTACAATGACGTGGTATGGGACACGCGGTGCTTTGGTGATATCTCATCACACTAATTTCACCTTTCCTTTCCTTTTTTAACATGGCTACTGAAAGTTTTTTTTTTTTTTTTTTTTTTTTTTTTTAGATGGAGCCTCGCTCTGCGCCCAGGCTGGAATGCAGCGGGGCAATCTCCGCTCACTGCAACCTCCAACTCCCTGGTCCAAGCGATGCTCCTGCCTCGGCCTCCTGAGTAGCTGGGATGACAGGCACGTGCCACACCTGCCTAAAATTTTTGTATTTTCAGTACAGACAGGGTGTTACCATGCCTGTTGACCAGGATCATCTCAATCCCCTGGCCTCATGATCCACCTGCCTCAGCCTCCCAAAGTGCTGGGATTACAGGCGTGAGCCACCGCACCTGGCCCTAGAAATTTTAAGATTATCCACATGGCTCACGTCATGCTCCTGTTAAGAGACAGCGGCTCGAAGCCTCACCCTCGGTCCTCTTGGTTCCCTCGCAGAAGGGAGGAAGCAGACACTCCTCCACACGCACCGCCACAGCGCTGGCGCCACACCGTGGGTTTGCGCATTTTCAAACTTGCCACCCCAGAGCCACCAGATCCCGACACACTAGGTTTTCCAGGCTAAGCCAGGCCGAGGGAACGCTGCTGTCACTTGCTGGCTGAGGAACACCCAGGGTTTTCCAGGCCGAGTGGACACTGCTGTCACTTGCTGGTTGAGGAATGCCCGGAGTTTGCCAGGCCGAGTGGACACTGCTGTCACTTGCTGGCTGAGGAACGCCTGGAGTTTGCCAGGCTGAGCCAGGCTGATCGGATGGTGCTGTCACTCCCTGGCTGAGGAGCGCGGCCACATGGTACTCTGGACACTCACAGGCTGAGACGACCACCCTCCTCGAGCGTCTCCACACCTTCATCTGTGCATCAAAAGCAGAAGTCCCGGACGTCTGGATGCCACGGGGCCATGGCACGGGTGAAGCTGGGGTTTGCCAGCAGTAACAAGATAGAAGAACCACACAAAGACAAGGGAGGGGACCCCAGCAGGCGGGTCTGAGACTTAAGACAGGGAACAGAGGGGAAAGAAAGGGACGGGGTCAAAGCTAAAGAAACACTGAGCTCAGAAACAACGCTAATAATGTTTAGTTTGTGGGGCGTCAAGAAGCCCAAGACACAACTAAGGGAAACAGCACAAAGGTTGGGGGTGACGACCAGCGATAAAACACACTAAGGCTCTTACTGCTCAGGACAAGGGGAGCAACGTGTCAGACTTCATTTAAAAGATCAGGGTAGGCCAGGAGCGGTGGCTTGCACCTGTAATCCCAGCACTTTGGGAGGTCAAGGCAGGTGGATCATGAGGCCAGGAGATTGAGACCATCCTGGCCAACACAGTGAAACCCATCTCTACTAAAAATACGGAAATTAGCCAGGCACGGTGACACGCACCTGCAGTCCCAGCTACTCGGGAGGCTGAGGAATGAGAATTGCTTGAACCCAGGAAGCAGAGGTGACAGCGGAGATCGCGCCACTGCACTGCAGCCTGGGCGACAGAGCGAGGCTCCATCTCGAAAAAACAAACAACAAAAAGCTCAGGGGGTAACACTGAGCAGAGGAACGAAGTAAATCCCGGTAACACTGAGCAGAGAAATGAAGTAAATCCCTCCTGACTGGGAGGCAACGACGGGATCAACGTGCACTCGGCAGGAAGAGCGCCCTCGGAGGCTCAGGAAGTGCAAACTCGGCAGGAAATGCGCCCTCGGAAGCCCAAGAAGTGCAGACTCGGCAGGAAGAGCGCCCTCAGAAGTGCAGGAAGTGCAAACTCGGCAGGAAGAGCATCCCAGGAAGCCCAGGGAGTGCAGACTCAGCAGGAAATGTGCCCTCAGAAGCGCAGGAAGCGCAAACCCGGCAGGAAGAGCGCCCTCGGAAGCGCAGGAAGAACAAACTGGTCAGGAAGAGTGCCCTCGGAAGCACCGGAAATGCAAACTCCGCAGGAAATGCGCCCTTGGAAGCGCAGGAAGTGCAGACTCGGCAGGAAGGGCACCCTCGGAAGCGCAAACTTGGCAGGAAGCGCACCTTCGGAAGCGCAGGAAGTGCAAACTCAGCAGGAAGCCGAGAAACAGGGAATGAGAACACGGAAAGGCAAATGGAAAATCAAAGTGCATGGACAGGTCTCTAGTGACGAACAATGAAAACAAATCAAGTTATCCAGCTAAACACACACTGTCAGACTGGACTGGAAATTCACCTGCGTGCTATTAATAAGACACACCTACAGTATAAAAACATAAAAGTGTTGAAAATTAGGCCAGGCACAGTGGCTCACGCCTGTAACTCAGCACTTTGTGAAGCCAAGGTAGGTGGATCCCTTGAGTTCAAAACTTTGAGACCAGCCTGGGCAACACAGCAAGACCCTGTCTCCAGAAAAAATTTAAATTTAAAAATTAGCTAGGTGCAGTGGCGCATGTCTGTACTTCCAGCTACTCAGGAGGTTGAGGTGAGAGGATCACTCAGGCCAGGAGGTAAAGGTTACAGTGAGTCTTGACTGCGTTCCTGCACTCACCCTGGGCAGCAGAGCAAGATTCTGTCTCAAAAAAAAAAAAAAAGAAAGAAAGAAAAGGAAAATATAAATTAAAGACAGAAAACCAACACAGCAGGAAAATACTAATCAAAAGAAGCCCAGGGTGGCAGCAGTAAGAGCAATTCACAAAAAGAGTTACTAGATTACTAGAGACAGAGAAGTCTACAAAAGATTCACTCATCAGGAAGGTAAAAATTCTACCACAGGCATGCACCTAATAATGCCCCACACAAATGCCACCAAACGAGAAGAAATGAACAGACCCATCCCCCAGGTGAGGGACTTGGCCTCCCTCCTGCAATTTCATGCATCTAGAAGGAGAAAGAAGCTTTGTGCAGGGCCTTAATAAGCTGGATATAGTGAACATGGCCGCTATCTACAGGATGTCAAGTACACAACGGACATTTCTGGAAGCCACCCACACACTAGATCACAAAGCAAGTCTCCACAAACTTCAAGTTAATTGGTATTACACAGACCACTAGACAACTGAGTTAGACGTCAATAACAACATAACTTAAAATACTCTATGTATTTGGACAATAATCTTAAAACTCACTGATCAAAGAAATAACAGAATAAGCTAAATAATACTTAAAAGGGTCTGATATCAAAATTACTTCACATCAAAATACAGGGTGCACAAACAGAAAATCAAAGAATAAGAACACTTAGAAGTATTAACACTATTAGGTATTTTAAGAACTCCTAAAAGTGACTGAAGTCAACATTATTTCACATCAAAGTGCAGGCTGCAGCTAAGGCAGCGCTTAGAGGAAAATGCATAGCTAAACTAAGAAGTTAGAAAGGGAATGAAAGAATAAACCAAAAGAAAGCATCTATTGCAAAGACAGAAACATCAGAGGTAAATTAGTGAAATTCAAAACAAAGACCCAGAGTTAAGTCTGACGAAGCCGGGCTGAGACACTGGCCCTCGATGTGGGTCTCAGAGCAGGAGGCGGATGGAGACACTGCAACCTGTGGCTGGATGTCAGTCCACGTGAGGGGTGACTGGAGGCAGATCCCAGCCTCAGCAACACGCCAAAGGTGCCCAGAATAAGGTAACAAGGGTTGCCGCCCACCCAAGGGGGGCTGGGCGGAGGGGGAGCTTGGGAGAAAACAGGACAAGTGAGGGTCTGAGGCGCCTGCTTTCCTTCTGGCCGCAGAGAACCCTTCTGGGATGTCTCCAGCAACACTTGGCAGCAGACACAGGCAGCCTGGCAGTCTAGCCTCGGCATGGGGTGAGCTGGGAGAGGAATACTGGCAGCAAGTGTGTGGTGGGAATGGGGGTGGCCACGGGGGTGGGCAAGCCAGGCCAGACAGAGGCAAGCCGGACCTGAAGCTGTGGCTGCAGCGCCAGGCAGGGGGGAAGTGAGAGCCTGCAGAGTCCTGTGTCCCGGCAGCAACGTGGAAGGACAAAGGGACCAAGAAGAGCCCAGGATGAGGAAAGATAGGCTTGGGGACCAGCACGGTGCCTGCACCATTTATCCAGGCGACAGGCAACTGGTGTGGCTGCGGCCACAGAAACAGCAGATGTACAGAGGCACAGCACAAGAGAGCAAAAGCGACATCCGGGACCGAACCTCACTCACCCCACACAGGACAGGGACACCCGGGCCTCACTCACCCCACACACAACAGGGACACCCGGGACGGAGCCTCACTCCCTGCACAAGCCAGGGGCAGATTGTGACCTCATCTAAAATCAGAGAACAGCAATGATGGCAGCAGATTCCTGACCAGAGCACTCAACCTCTCCTCCCTGAAGGAAGCTAGAACTCGAAAAGCAAGAACAGGTAGCATGACTGCTTATCCGACTCTGTGTGGCCACCTGAGCCACAGCAGGTGGCAGGGAACTGCTGTTCAACAGGTTTGGGACTTTCAGTCATGCAAGACGTAGCAGTCTGAGTGACCTGTTGTAGACACCAGGCCAAGTTAGCAATTCTGCACTGTACACAGAAGATCGTGTTAGGAGGGCCAATCTCATGTTGTATGACTTTTGTCATCATAAAAAAGAGCCCCAGGAAGGTGGTCACCCTCCTCATCTGCACGGCTGGCCCCGGGACCCTGAGGGAACCTGAACAGCAGCTCGGCCGCAGGAAGCTACGCAGCCACCGTGCCACGGTGCTGGCAGAACAGCCGCACAGGCCGCTGCCACGAGGGTCTTTTGGAGCGGGACCAGGAATGAAAGCCCTCACCACAGGCAACTCTAATGAGCAGGCAGGGTGGGCGGACAGCTCTGCAGACGTGGTCTCTGCCACGGCCCTACTTCCGGAAGTCTTCAATGTCTTGGGAGTTTGTGGGGAGGTGGGTATCGGGACCTGTTCTGACTGCCACTGCAGGGCCTGGGAGTGCTGGGAGCCAACAGGGGGGTGGAGCAGAGGTGCCTCCACATCAAATCCAGAAAAACAGAGCGGGGACATGGCAGGGCCCAGCAGCACTGTCCCCTGAACACCCACAGCACTATCCCTCCCCTGAGCAGGTGCAGCCATCTGCGGTCCTCTGCTCCCACGTGGCCCTCTTCATTCCTGCGGACAGGACCGGGACCTGTGCTGGAGGACAGCCTTCTTTATCCCCTCCCTCTACCCTGCCCTGGCAGAATCAACGCACCATTTTTTTGTTTTATTTTTGAGACAGAGTTTCAAGTCAAGTTTCAAGTTTTTAAGTCACCCAGGCTGGAATGCAATGGCACCATCTCAGCTCACTGCAGCCTCCCGGGTTAAAGCGATTCTTCTGCCTCAGCCTCCTGAGTAGCTGGGATTACAGGCACATGCCACCATGCCCAGCTGCTTTTTGTTATTTTTAGTAGAGATGGAGGTGGCCGTGTTGGCCAGGCTGGTCTCGAACTCCTGACCTCAGGTGATCCACCTGCCTCCGCCTCCAAAAGTACTGGGATTAACAGGCGTGAGCCACCGCACCTGGCCATCAACACAGTTAAATCTTAAATACAAACCTGCGTATTGGCTGACCATGTGCACCTGCAAAACCCTTTCCTCCCACCCTCAGGAAGAGGGAGTTTTTGTCCTCAGCTCCCTTTCCTAGCCTTGAAATCACGAAGGGGATTATAGGTAACCTGCAGGCACCCTGCCAAGAGTGTCTGTGCTTCCACCGGCTTCCCCCCATTGCCAACACCCCAGCTCCACAGCACGCCCCGCCCCATCTGTTCACTGCTCCGGCCTCAGCGCCTGGAAACTGCATGTCGATAAAAAACCTGAAGGTGAACCTCATAGGTTTATGCAAACTGGACAGGAGAGAGAGCAGAGGCAGAAATCACCACGTCCACTCGACGTCCTGAGCAAGAAGCCACGTGTGCCCACGTGATGATGGAGACAAGAGGACCAGGGCTCTGCCTGCCCCCTTTTCTGAGCCCCTACTGCATTGAGCCCTGGGGCCTGGGACCTCGACGGCCACCCCCTCCTCACCTGGGCTCCTGCGCAGCCAAGCGCAGTCACGCACGCTCATCTTCCAGGTCAGCTCCTGCAGCGAGATCTTGGCATGCTTCCCCAGAGAGATGAACTTCTTGGTGTTCCTGAGGAAGCGACGCTCGTTGTGCCTGGAGCCCCAGAGGCCGGGGGGCACCAGCCGGCGCAGGCAGGCCCGCAGGAAGCCGTACACCTGCCAGGGGCTGCTGTGCTGGCGGAGCAGCTGCACCAGGCGACGGGGGTCTGTGTCCTCCTCCTCGGGGGCTGCCACAGAGCCCAGGGGCTTCTGGGCACAGACACGGGCCGCCGGGGTGATCGCAGTCCGCAGCGGGCAGTGCGTCTTGAGGAGCGCCCTGTAGGGGCACCGCGCGTGGTTCCCAAGCAGCTCCAGAAACAAGGGCCGCATCTGCCAGTAACGCTGGGGCAGGCGGGGCAGCCTGCGGGGCGTCCCTGGCCTCGAACCCAGAAAGATGGTGTCCAGGAGCCTGCGGGCGCCGGTCAGGCTGGGGCGCAGGGCGCTGAGTAGGAAGGAGGGCCGAAGCCGCTCCTGGGCACCCGAAGAGTAGAGGAAGTGCTTGGTCTCGGCATACACCAGGGGACAAGGCGTGTCCCGGGGCTGCGGTGACCGCGATGTGGATGGGGGCCCCAAGCCGGGCTGGCGGCCCACTGATGGGTACGAGTGGCATGCGCCAGGGGCTTCCTCGGCGGCTGCGGCAGGTGACACCACACAGAAACCACGGCCGCTCGGTCCACGCGTCCTGCCCGGGTGCGCCCGGGATCCCTGCTCCACAGGCGTCCGCTCCGGCTCCGGAGCAGGCCCACACCTGGGCCTCTTGGGCCATGGTGGACTTACACTGGCGCTGCCCCGGCGCCTTCTCGCACCCGGGGCTGGCAGGCCCAGGCGGACCCCGGGCTCCGTGACGCTGCTGCTCCAGGTCCGTTCGCGTCCCAGACCCCTTCGCGTCCCAGCCGCGTGTGGCGCGGGCCGGGGCTCGGGGTCAGCACGGAGCTCGTACAGGGGCGGCCCGCACACCTGGTAGGCGCAGCTGGGAGCCACCAGCACGTAGAGCGCGCAGTGCGCCAGCAGGTAAACCAGCACGTCGTCGCCCAGGCGGCGCAGCAGCAGCGCCCACGCCCCGCTGCCGCGCAGCGTCTCCGTCACCGTGTTGGGCCGGTAGCTGCGCACGCTGGTGGTGAAGGCCTCGGGGGGGCCGCCGCCGGCGCCATCCAGCAGCGCGAAGCCGAAGGCCAGCACGTTCCTCGCGCCGCGCTCGCACAGCCTCTGCAGCACCCGGGCCACCAGCTCCTTCAGGGGGGACACCTGCGGGCGGGGGAAGCGCCCTGAGTCGCCCGCCGGGGGTGCGCGCGCCGCTCCGCTCCCACCCCCCGCCAGACGCGGACCCCGGGCGGCGCACCTGGTGGAAGGAGGGGGCGGCGGGGGGCGGCCGTGCGTCCCAGGGCACGCACACCAGGCACTGCGCCACCAGCGCGCGAAAAGCCGCCGGGTCCCCGCGCTGCACGAGCCGCCGGCCCTCGGGCCCCAGGCGCCGCACAAACGTGGCCAGCGGCAGCACCTGGCGGTAGCGGCTGCGCAGCAGGGAGCGCACGGCTCGGCAGCGCGGCGCGCGCGGCATCGCGGTGGACTGCAGGGGCCGGAGCGCGGCCTCCCACGTGCGCAGCAGGACGCGGCGCGGGCAGCCTCCAACCTGCGCCCCGAGAGAAGGCGGGGCCGCGGAGAGGAAGGGGCGGGGCCGGAGAGTGAGGGGCGGGGCTGCAGGGGAGGGAAGGTGCTGGGGGGGCGGGGCTGGAGGGTGAGGGGCGGGGCTGAAGGGGAGGGGCGGGGCGGTGAGGGCCGGAGGGGCGGGGCCGGGGACCGGGAGGGGGGCGGGAGGGGGCGGGGTCCGCGCGGAGTCGGCGGAGCTGGGAGGTGAGGGCGGGGGTGGGCCGGGTTTGGGGAGCCTGGGTCCCTCTCCCTCCGCCACGCGGGCAGCGCGGTCCCGGGCGTCTGCGCCCGCGAATCCACCGGGAGGCCGGCCTGGCCTCGACCGCGCAGCTGCTCCGTGCGGACCCGGGGGTCTGGGCCGCGCTTCCCGCCCGCGCGCCGCCCCCGTTCGCAGGGTGCAGGGACCCCAGCGAGGGCCCCGCAGAGAGGGGTGGTGTCGGCCCAGGCGCGGGGTAACCCGGGGGAGGGGCGGTGGCCCTGGCACAGGTGCATGCGGCGCTCCCCTCATCGCTTTCGCAGATGGGCCTGACCCCGAGAGCCAGGGCTGCCCCCGCTCCGGACTGGGGGCGTCGGGAAGGAGCAGGCGGCGGGCTCCGGGCACCGGACGCAGGGCGCCAGGGGAGGGCCGAAGCGCATAGACGCGGCTGGGGACGACCCCCAGGGCGCAGCGCTCCCGGGACAGGCACGCGGGGCTCCCGGGGCGCCTCCCTACCCGCGGGCAATACTTCCCCACGACTTGGTCTCCTTTTCTCTTTGCAGGTTCTCAGGCCGCGAGGGGTCCCCACCACGAGCAAACCACCCCAGATCTGTTCATCACCCACCGGGGCGGTCCCGTCGAGGAAGGGTGGGACATGGAGTCAGGTGCTCCTCTGGCCCCGCACTGGGTGCCTCACACCTGCCGTAGCTGCCTTGACCCTGGGCCCCGGCGCGGTGTCTCCCAGCTGAGGCCAAACTCAGGTCACTCCCGCCTGCAGAGGGAGGAGGGCAGCCTCGGGGGTCCGGGCACCTGCTACAGCCTCGGACCAGTGAGCCAGGAGGCCCGACCCCCAGCCCAGCTGTGGAAGCTACGCAGCCGCTGGGCCCCTGCAGACCTAGGGCCCGGGCACAGCCGAGGACTTCCCCGAACCCCAACTCCAGCTGCTCAAGTTTGGATCGAAGAGGCAAGAAACTTCTGGGTCTCCGGAGGCTTTGCGGGAAGGGTGTAGCTGAGGTCGGCAAACACTGAAATGCTAACAGATGCAACCTTCAATGTAACCTTTCCTGCTTTCCGAAAGTGTCGGCGGAAATTGCTTTATTTATGGACCTAGCATTTGAACAGGCCTCGCGCACTCCCTGAGCCGTCACACTGGCTAGGGCTTCGCCTCACCTTGTAAATACTTAGGATTACAGGTCGCTCTTCCAGAAATCCCCTTAATGAACCCGAAGCCTTTTTAAAGGGCTGTGTTTGTGAATTGTCTCTGCCACTCGGGCAAAGGGGCTGATGTGGAAAGTTTGTTCCAACAAAAGGTAATTTGTAGCTTACTCTGGTCCCCCCAGAGAAACCAACACAGAAAACCTAATTTTAAAAGAGGGAATAGAAGAAACTCAGGCAGAAGATTACACTGGAGTAATTAACACCATGTCCATGGGGAGGAAACGTCTCCCAGCTTTCAATGAAAATCGAAGATGCCCCAGTATTATGGGTGCAGTTAGTCTATCTTTGAAAAGCTGATGATGTCTTAGTCATCACAATGTAAAACATGAAGAATGTTCTAAGAGACCGATTGCCATGGCTCTCGCCTGTAATCCCAGCACTTTGGGAGGCCAAGGTAGGCGGATCACAAGGTCAAGAGATGGAGACCATACTGGCCAACACGGTGAAACCCTGTCTGTACTAAAAATACAAAAATTAGCTGGACATGGTGGTGTGTACCTGTAGTCCCAACTACTTGGGAGGTTGAGACAGGAGAATTGCTTGAACCCAAGAGGCAGAGGTTACAGTGAGCCAAGATCGCACCACTGCACTCCAGCCTGGTGCCTGGCGATGGCGCAAGACTCTGTCTCAAAAAAAAAAAAAAAAGAATGTTCTAAGAAAAACAGATAAACAGATTCTATCATTGGCGTAAAACCACACAACACTTGAGTGGGGTGAGCTTCCTTTCTCAGACCCAGATGTTTCTAAACAGAGTGGATTCTGGGCTGGGCGAGGTGGCTCATGCCTGTAATCCCAGCACTTTGGGAGGCCAAGGCAGGTGGATTACCTGAGGTCAGGAGTTCAAGACCAGCATGGCCAACATGATGAAACCCCATCTCTACTAAATTACAAAATTAGCCAGCATGGTGGTGATGCCTGCAATACCAGCTACTTGGGAGCCTGAGGCAGGAGAATCACTTGAACCTGGGAGGCAGAGGCTGCAGTGAGCCAAGATCCCGCCATTGCACTCCAGCCTGGGCAGCAAGAGTGAAACTGTCTCAAAAACTAAGTAAATAAATAAAATAAAATGGCTAAATAAATCACTCAAGCCTGCCCTTTCCTTTCCCAAAGGCGCTTCAGCCCTGTCCTTGGACGTTTCTGTAAACTTTTGTTTTGAAATAATCCTGGATCCGCAGCGCTTGGGTTTTCTGTTGCTGCTGCAAATCCCCACACTTTGTGCTAGAAGGGCGGCGCGGGTGCCCTCCCGCGGCGTGAGTGCCCTCTTAAGGTGAGGGCGCTCTTCAATGGCACAGGTGCCCTCCTACAACGTGGGTGCCCTCCTGCAGTGATGATACCCTCCTGCATCGTGGGTGCCCTCCTGCAGTGATGATATCCTCCTGCATCGTGGGTGCCCTCCTACAGCGATGGTACCCTCCTGCATTGTGGGTGCCCTCCTACAGCGATGATACCCTCCTGCATTGTGGGTGCCCTCCTACAGCGATGGTACCTTCCTGCATCGTGGGTGCCCTCCTACAGCGATGGTACCCTCCTGCATCGTGGGTGCCCTCCTGCATCGTGGGTGCCCTCCTACAGCGATGATACCCTCCTGCATCGTGGGTGCCCTCCTACAGCGATGGTACCCTCCTGCATCGTGGGTGCCCTCCTACAGTGATGGTACCCTCCTGCACTGTGGATGCCCTCCTACAGAGTGGGTGCCCTTCTACATCGAGGGTGCCCTCCTACAGTGTGGAGGCCAGAGGTCCACGATGGGCCCTGGTGGGCTAAAGGTGAGATGTGCCCTCCTGCTGCAGAGCCCGGGGAGAGTCCCTTCCCCGCCTTTTCCAGCTTCCCAAGGTGCTCACAGGCCTGGGCTTGAGGCCTCTCCTCCCTCTTCAGCCTCTGACTGACTCTGCCTCCATCATCCCGGCTGCCCACCTCTGACCCTGATGCCCGCCTCCTCCCAGAACCCCTGGATCACTTTCCTGGCCTTCGTATAATCCCGAATGATGCTGGATGGTCCCAGGCCGGGTGCGTTCTGTCCATTAGGACGCCGGCATCTCTGGGGCATTATCCTGCCCAGGACACTTGGGTGTGGCAAAGATGGCACAGCCTCCAGGTTCCCCCATCCCCATACCCCGTGGTTACGTCCCCCGTAACTAAGCCAATACTCCGTTAGAACCAGGAACTTCCTGCGTGTTCTCTTCACTGCCGAGGAGCTGTCCGCGGCACCGACGGGCAGTCTGTTTAACCATTTAGTCCACGGACGTTTTAGCAGCGCTTCCCCCACTTGGTAGCTCTTCAAACTGCTGTGGTCGGCTGTGGACGCGAGTTTGTGTGCGACGTGCAGGATCACGTGAATTCCCAGGGCTCCGGGATCAATGTCCAGGAGTGGCAACGCTGGGTCTCTTGGCAAGAGGATGCTTACTTAGCTCTTGTGGAAACTGCCACCCTGTGCTCCAGAGGGAGGGGGCAGGGACGTGCTGGGCAGAGAACGGTGGGTCCCCGGCGAGGGCTCCAGCCCCGGCCTGTGCCCACAGACCCAGGTGAGGACAGGCGCTCCCACCTTCACAACAAATGTTGCATTTCCCAAGACCACTTGGCCACCGCACGCCCATCCTGTGCCTATAGAACCCCCGAGACCCTAGTGGGCAGAGACAAGTGGCTGGACATGGCGGGGAGCACAGTGGCAGAAGAACATGCTGACGGCCCGGCAGACACCAGGAGAGCCAGAGCGCCTGGAAAGGGAGGCCCGGGCGCAGCCGGACACCGGGAACTGCACCTGCCACAAGCCAGGTTGAGGCTCAGAGGAGCCGGTCTAGGAGGCGCAGAACCTCCTCCTGTCAACACATGTGAGTGTTGGGGAAGGAGACAGACACCCAACGTAAGGAGGAACTGTGCGAGCCACGTTGCTGAGACAGGCACAGCAGGTGGTGGGGGGGAGGCGATGGTGCTGGGACACGGGCCCACCCGGGGCTGCTGCAGATGCTGAGTCCTGGAGACACTGAGCCCTGGAGGCAGAGGGTGTGGGGGCACAGCTGGCCTCAGTGTGGCATCCCAGGGTGAGTCTCCAGGGCAGATGGCTCCCTCGGGAAGCAGCAGCCAGTCCCTAGAACCTGGGGGACTGCCTGCCGGGACAGCCTCGGGGTCCTCTGTCCCCAGGCTCTCCTAGTCTAAAGGATCATACTGTCCCAGAATGCCATTGTCACGCACCTGCTGGCTGAAAGCAGCCTCGTCTCCCCTGTCTCTGTCCATCAGGAATATGGGCAGGGCTCTTTGGGTCCAGTAAAAGAATGGTGTTTGTACTGAGTTTGCGGTGGTTTGTCCCGCCTGAAGACGTTGCTGGAATCGTTGTTCAGTCCTTAGTGGTGAAGACGTATCATGATGGGAATGACGGTCCCCATCAGTGGAGTGGTGTCATTGACACGGCCATTGCATGCACACGACCTCCTTACCCTCAATGCCCCAGGGGAGTGGGCAGGCAAGGGCCATGTCCGTTCCCAGAGGTTCCAGGCTCCGTGACTTCCTGGGCTGGTGTGGGCGGGTTGCCTAATGCGGCAGCCCCCAAGGGGGTCGGTCAGCGGTCCTGCTGTCGGCCACCCAGGC